GTAGGATTGAGGTAATTTATTTCCATCCCAATTACAGACAAATAAATGAAGCTCAGATAGGTAGAATTCACATTTTCTTACCTCCAACATGTGGTGCTCTTTTACTTACTCTTAACCTTTGGCAGTTTGTAGAAAACAAACAAAATGAACACAGAACACCCTTTTAAATGTGCATAAAACTGCCTCGAAAGTTGGCTATTTCCAGAATTTTCACTCAAGATGGATACCTGATAGGCCAGGAGCTTAAGTATTACTTGTGTGTGACTTTGGTTTGGCTGGGGCTCCAGGGACACCATCAAACAAGGTAATGCTTGCTTCTCAAAGATTAAAAGCCATGCAAGGATATCATGGACTACTTCTCGTATCAACCCAGTATTTGAAAGTCTCCTCCATTTTCCATTTAAATGTATGGTTTTTTGTCAAAATCAAATTCAGACAGTCCATACCCCTCTTTTTCTAATTGTATCCCTTTTTATAGTCACTTAGAAATGGCCTGTCTTAACCACTGTGTGCCTATGAAACAGCTAAGCCAATTGTACAGTTCCATGTGTGATACTCTGCAGCTTTCTCATGATCTCCAGTGCCTGCCTCCTTCTCTTGTTCTGTGGTCATGTTCTAGCTCCTGAATCATTTCCAGCTAGAAGAAAATGTGAAAACTAAAGTAACTTGCTTTCCACTGCCATATTTTCATAGCGAACTGAGGGTTATATAGATTTCATATATTTATTTGTGGAGGGTATATATATTTTTTTAGTTTGGATTACTTTCTGAAAACTATTATCTCTTTTTTGTGCTGTTTTTATTGAAAAAAATGTTTTCAAACATTATATTCTGATCACACTTTTCCCCTCCCCCCTATTTCTCCCAGATCCTCCCCACCTCCCTACCAACCCAACACCATACATTTTCTCTTTCTCTCTCCAGAAAAATCAAACAAAAAACAAGAAACACACACACACACACACACAAAACACACAAAAGCACAAAATCAGATACCAAAATATACAAGCAAAAGACTAATAAGACAGAAAATACCCAAGAAAGCACTATGAGACAGAAAGTCTAGAGAAATACCACTGAGTACTTTTTGTGTTGGCCATCTGCTCAAGGGCATGGGGCCTACACTGATGTTTGGTTAATATGCCCAGTGAAACTCCACTGGAGAGGACTCATTTTTCCTTTGCAAGTATATACTGATTGTAGATAGCTTCTTGGTTAGGGGTAGAAGCCTGTGTCCACTTCCCCTTCTCATTGCTGGGACCCCATCTAGCTTGAACTTGTAAAGGCCCATGAGTGTTGCCACAGTCTCTGTGAGCTCATACATGCATCAGTCCCGTTGTGTCTGGAAGACACTGTTTCTTTGGAGTCATCCGTCCCCTCTGGCTCTTACAATCTTCCTAAGTCCTCCTCCACATATGTGCCTGGCCCCTGAGGGGAGGGTTTGATGAAGACATCCCATTTAGTCCTGAGTGCTGCAAAGTCTTGCATTCTCTGAATATTGTCCAGTCTCTGTATTAGTTCCCATCTACTGCAAGAAGAAGCTTCTCTGAAGATGGTTGAGTGAGACACTGATCTATGGGTGTGGCAGAATGTCATTGGAGCCATGAAAACTCTTATCTTAACTATAATTGGTATTGTGAATTGCAAGTATTGTGATGGGTTAAACTTCCCCATTTAAATTTTAAAAGTCTTAGAAAGTTTCACACAGTTTCTCATGATTTAACTAAATATAAAAATGGTTATTGAAATTTACAAAGCTGGATGCTATGGCCAATAGAAATTGTCTTTAAAGTTATTGGCTATTCATGGTGCTCACAATGAATATGTAACTGGATTATGTTGAGATTATAGATAGAAGTGAAGCACAATTTCATGGGAATAGAGATATATGAGGGAATTGACAGTAAGTGTATTGGAAGCTGTATTTTAGCCATGCAAAAGAATGTTAGGGAAATATAGAGAATGTAATGTAATGGTTTTGAGGAATGACTGTGGTAAGCAAGGACACATAAAATCAATCTGAGATGAGGAACTTAAGCTGAACTTTTAAGGGTGATTAGGACAAAGGAAGAGGGTCAGGGGAAATAAGAAAGCTTTCCAAGCAAAGCAAGAAGGGTGGAGAAAATGATCTGTCCTAGAGGAAATTGATCAGCAAAATGGCCAATGTGATGTTACTGAAGAAAACATTTAAGAAAATGGCCATAACCAAGTCCTGAGATTGTGTGCAAACCAGCCCTGGTGCTTCCTATAAAGATTTGAGCATTTTTTGAAGGCAAGGGGAATTTTGAAGGCAAGAATCATGGCAAGATTTTTTAGCAAAATTTGGTTTCCACATTTATATTTTAGAAAAATTCCCATAGCACCAAAATTGGAGGCAATTGGAAGAGAGCCAGGTTTGAAGAAAGAAAACCAATCCGAATGTAACTATAATGAATAACATTGTGAATTAAGGATTATGAAAATGGAAAAGAGAGTTGTAGAATTGCATGGTTTATTTAGAAGAGAATTCTTAGGATTAACTGGCTCGTATCAGTGTAAGAGAAGCATTAGCATTAATTTCAAACCCTGGAGGTGGAAGAGCAGTTCTCTGCCCAGATGAACGGTGTAGAATAACAAGGACCTGTGAGGCTGTCCGCATAGCAGAGAACCCCATCCCCATTTTTTCCTTTTATTGAAAATAGATTGTTTTCTGATAGAATATATGCTGACTACAGGTTCCCTTCCCTCTACTTCTCTCGGTTCCTCTCTACTTCCTCTCCCCTTTCTGTCTCTCATTAGAAAAGAACAGACTTCTAAGAGATAACAGCCAAACATGGCAAAATAAAATATATTAAGATAAAACAAGAGCCATCATATTGAGACTGGACAAGGCAACTCAACAGGAGAAAAAGATCCCCAAAGAGCAGGCACAAGAATCAGAGACCCACTTGTTCATACACTCAGGAGTCCTGTAAAAAGTACTAAGCTGAAAGCTGTGATATATACAAGAAGACCTGGTGCAGGCCTACATAGGCCCTACACTTGCTGCTTCAGTCTCTCTGAGTTCATATGAGCCTTGCTCAGTTGATTCCGAGGGCCTTGTTCTCCTGGTATCCTCCATCCGTTCTGGCTTACACTCTTTCTGCCTCCTCTTCCACCAGGTTCCCTGAGCTCTGAGGGGAGAGATTTGATGGAGACATCCTATTTAGAGCTGTGTGTTCCAAGAAAACTCTCCCCCTACACTCTCTTTGCATAATGTCTGGCTGTGTGTCTCTTCATCTCTTCCCATCTGCTGCATGAGGAAGCTTCTCTGATGGTGACTGGATAAAGCACTGATCTATGAGTATAACAGAATATCATTAGGAGTCATTTTATTGATACTTTTGTTTAAGACCTGCAGTGTTTGCTTTTACTCTAAATCTCTGGGCTGTCTAGCCTCTGGTTCTTGTTCACCCAAGCAGTGTCAGATATGGGTTCAGTCTTATAAAGTGGATCTTAAGTCAAATAAGACATTGATTGGCTATTCCGACAAGTTCTATGCCTCCCTTGCCCTAGCAAATATTGCAGGCAGGAACAATTGTAGGACAAAGGTTTTGTGGCTGGATTTTTGTTTACATTTCTTTTTTTAGTAGTTTGCAGAATACTTTATTTACCACACCAAAGGCAGAACATAGAGATCAAGACCCTATGTTGGCACCAGCTCGACATCTCCATGTTCAATGAATTGTGTGGGTATTTAGAAATAAGTGTTGGCCATTGAAAATTCAGATATTAAAATTCTTATATTAGAACTAGAAAATAAAAAGTTTCCCAACTCTATGATAGCTTATCGTGAGCACACATATATCATGTAGTACATGGTAAAGGCCTGTGGTCTAAGTTAAAGTAACAAGAAAAGTAGAATCCACAAAACCTAGCCTATCAAACATGCAGGAAATATGGAGATTAGAAAAGGGGGTTGAGGGAAAACAACAAATATAGAGTGGAAATGAAATGCCACAGAAGGTAAAGTACCAGGCTAGTTGATACCCAACTGCCAGGCTTGGCCACATGTGGGAATCAACTTAGAGAATAGCAAGCTCTGGAAATGTTAGTTTATCATTTGAAATTTTAAAGATATAAGCAATTGAAGTGTTTGTGACTGTGCATTTTTATATTTCTGTAGTGTTGTAACTTCTTGTGAGCTTTTACACGTTAAAAAAAATTAAAGGCATCCCATAATGTAAGATGTCATCAACTGAAAATGAAAAATCAGATAAACTTAATCAGAACAGACAAAGAAGAAAAGGGCAACATGGGTGGTCAGCAGTGTCATCCTAGAAATAGGTCAAAAAGAGACAAGGGCTGAAGGAGCCTTTTAGCCTGGTATTTACATTTGGTCACAAGTGACCTTATTAAAAGTCACTTCACTGAAAGGCTAAGGGCAGAAGCTTGACCAGACTTTTGGGGAGATGGCAAGTGAGTATGTGAAGAACTGGCATGGTCTTTAACAAAGGGGAGCGCTACTACACAGGCATGGATAGTGTTTTAGCTCAAAACCTTTTTGGTGTTAAGCAAGGAATCCACAGAAGCCTGTTCAGATATGAAGAATGATCACCAGTTATCCATGGATGGGAAGTGGTACGAGAGGTTGGCTTGTCAGGTCCCTGGTCATGTTAGATTTTCATGTCAGTCTTTCTAACAGTAGGACATACATGAGCATTTAGATGCAAGGAAAGAATTTGTGAGCAGATTTCTTGCAGTGAACTGACCTGTTGATAAGCTGGAGATGAGCTCCTATGGAGGGTAAATACACTACAATACAGAATCAAGTTAAGGTTCTCCTTAAGAGAAAATGACATTTAATTTGGAGAAGAATCAGTCCATCTACTGGTGGGAATAATATTTAATAGAAAAATACAAAATTCACAAGTTTCAAAGGCTGGACATTAATGATATATTTTTAAAAATATTTGTCTTAAAGAGAACAATCATGGTATAAACAAGCTAGTAAATTTCTTCTTCTTTTTTTCCTTCTAAAGCCGAACAACAACTTATCCTTATACAGAAACACAGATGTACAGCCAAAACACTGGAGGAAATTACTTTGACACTCAAGGAAGTTCAGCACAGGTGACAACCGTGGTGTCCTCCCACAGTATGGTGGGTACTGGTGGTATTCAGATGGGCGTCACAGGAGGACAGCTCATCAGCAGCTCCGGAGGAACCTATCTGATTGGCAATTCAATGGAGAATTCTGGTCACTCAGTGACACACACAACTCGAGCCTCCCCAGCGACAGTAAGTGTTTGAGCTTTTATTTACATTGGCTTCGGTGGCTTGTAGTGTGCTGTTTTCCTCTATGCAGGGAAACAAATCACATAGACTGGAGTAGGGCAAACTGTGTTACGCAGTTTTCATATCCTGCCACTTTACAGGATGTAAGAGTTAGCATTATGAAGAACATTATTGACATGTATGTCCTAATTCAGTAAGTAGAAAGCTTTTTATCAGTAATAGAAAGTTAGATTTAGAGAAATGAATTTTCCCAATGTAACTACTGACTTTGCTGTATTTGGGGGCTCATGCTAGAATCTTAGCACATAGAGATTGAGGCAGAAGGATTGTTGTGAATTCAAGGCCAGGTGTATTATATACCACCTATATTATATTTTATTTAATACATTTAAAAAACTGGTCTGCTTTTACAATAGAAAACCACATGTACTTGTTTTATCAAATTTATATTAATGCTAGTATTTAATTTTTTTAAATAATTCTGTGGACTCCATTCCTCTCATCCTAGCTCATGAGAGGCAGGGGCAGAAGGATTTTGAGTTTGAGGCCAATCTGGGCTGTGTTGTGTGGCCCTGTCAGAAGATGTGTTGCTATGTACTATATTGCATTTGCCAGAGTCACATTGTATATATGAAAGAAAGATTCTGGGAAGCACTGGTAACAGGTGATTCATTCACAAGGAGAGACACTTGTGTTGGTGCTGTGAGCAAATGATACAGTGAAGACACATCTTCATATAGCACTTTTCAAGCTTTTAAATTTAAACATGCATTTTGACACAGAAGAATGACACATGTCAGTATGAGAGTATTAATTTGTTGAAATGACTTCAGAAATATAGGAAGTTATATACCATTTGATATCATCAAGGTGTAAATTCAACTATGTATAAAAGGGAGATTGATCACCTGATACAAAAGAGCAATGGAATTGACTTCTTACTTAATTCATATGAAGTAGTGGTGGTGAGGCCAGGGTTGTACTTCAGTAGCATCGTGACAGTGCTTAGTGTGTTCCAGGTCCCGAGTTCCACCTCTAACCCTGCAAAGAGGCGGGGAGTGTAGTGCTGGGCCTTCGAATTCAGTGTGTCCACACTTTTCTCATTGTGTCACCACGGCCTTTGTTCTTGAAACGGAATGAGGGAGTGGTGGATTGGGGAGAAAAGAACATCAGTAAGAGGCTTCTAGTCCTCACTTTATGGGTCTTCTCCAGGATGTTATGTGTACTTTGTATTACTCTTGTGTCTGTGTGGGACTGATTTGTCCAGGCTCTCATCATTATTAGTGACCTTTCCCTAATCAAAGTTTAGAACCCTCTATTTTTATTTAATTCAGTGTTTTTCTAACATCAGAACAGATGTTCTGAGTAGAATATTTTCTTGCATTTTTGTACATATTTTTGAAGTGCTTTTTATACGTTTTGGCTCTTATATGTATATGCTTTTAATAATCTTACACTTCTAAATTTTTCAGTCATACAAGTGTTTATACAGATTACAAAATAAAGAAAATTACCACTAATCAGCCATATCCTCTCATGCCATGTTACTCTATCAATAAAACAAAGTGCTGTTCTCAATAAGTTTTGATTTCATTCTAGCTTTTAAAATCATGACAATTGCCGGGCGGTGGTGGCGCACGCCTTTAATCCCAGCACTCGGGAGGCAGAGGCAGGCGGATCTCTGTGAGTTCGAGGCCAGCCTGGGCTACCAAGTGAGTTCCAGGAAAGGCGCAAAGCTACACAGAGAAACCCTGTCTTGAAAAACCAAAAAAAAAAAAAAAAACAAACAAACAAACAAAAAAAATCATGACAATTGCAAAAGAATTATGAAATATCATAGACAAAATAGTAAGTTTATATTCATCACCAAAGGAAAATGGTACTAATAGTTTATAACATACCTATTCTGATGCCATTCCCAGTGGTAGGGAAAGTATCCTGTATTTCTCAAGGCCTTGTGTGCTGTCTCCTTTTCACCTCACCGTGGACTCTCTCATGCTGACGCGCCTCCCTTATGACCTCATTCTTCCTACGTCACCTCTTGTAGCCATTCCCATTTGCCTTCACGACAGTTCTAGCTACCAAGTCTTCCCAGGAACAACTTGATGAATGTTTACTTAATTTGAAAGCTCTGTTGCTAAATTAACTAAACGTTGTACTTCAGGTCATTTATATATAGTTATAGATATTAAAAGGATTAATTTTATAGTTTTTTTTAAACTGTGGATGCCTTTGTTTTTCTTTATTTTTCATTTTTCAAGACAGGGTTTCTCCATGTAGTTTTGGTGCCTGTCCTGGATCGCTCTGTAGACCAGGCTGGCCTCGAACTCACAGAGATCCACCTGGCTCTGCCTCCCGAGTGCTGGGATTAAAGGCGCCACCACTGCCCAGCTATTTTTCTATACAGAGTATGCAAGATGATATTACTCCTAGAGCTTCCGCTATACAACTTTGGAATAATTTATTATTATATCATTTTGTCAAATAAATCCATAAATAACTGAGTTATAACAAGCAAGAATAGTTGGAACTATATTTGAAATACCAGTTTATTATAGATATAAATTTGCACTTAAAATATCCGTTTCTGTGGAGTTATGAGTCTGATGTGTTTTGGGTTGGGGTTGTTTTCTTTTTACATTAATACTTTTAACCAAAAACATATAAAAGTTGACTAAGGAGAAATTTTGGGTGTCTAGGCCCTCACTGAAACCATGTGATAGTTATGAGTTATCTAAACCTATCTATATACATCTGCTAGTGTTTACTATGTTTCTTTAATTTATTACCAAGCTATATATTTGATTTACATCCCACCTCAATAATGCTGAACATATTAGCTCAAATTACAGTATGATTTCTCTTATCACTTTACAGTTTGATTTTATTATAGCAAATTAGCAAAATTTAAGTGTTATTTACCTCTGAAACGTTCCCCTACTATTCTCCTCTTGCCAAATGCTGAAAATCAATACATTTCTTCATTGTTTTGATCACTAGAAATCAGCATGCTTTTAGTAGGTGCTTCTTGCTGTCATGCGTCTTTTTCTGTCCCCATAGAACCTTTAGGCATATCTGTGAATCCAGTGTCTGGCAGCCCGTCTTTCCACATCAGGCCATATGCTGTGTGCCATTTAAGTTAGTTTCTCCAACTGGTCTTGTTGTGCCTTTAACATGTAGCATAGCTAGTATAACCGAATATAGGAATCCCTGGTGTTTTAGCCAAAATGCCTGCGTGCAGAAAACAGAGTCACCTCTCTATAGCCACAGATTTCTCCTCCATAGATTCAACCAACTCACCGAAAATACTTGGGAAGAAATTGTGGTACATGTACATACTTTTTGCTTGTCATTCTCCCCCAAATGGTGTTGTATTTTAACTATTTTCATAGCATATTTATGTTGTGTTAGGTCTTATAAACAGTCTGGAGAAGATAGAGACAGTCTGGCATGCAAGATAGCTCAGCGGGTAAAGGTACATCTCACCAAGCCTGATGACCTGTATGCGTTCAGTCCTCAGGACTCACATAGAGAAAAGAGAAAATTGACTCTCAAAAGTTGCCCTCTTACCTCCACATGTGGACGAGCATGTGCATGCACACACACACACACACCTCATTTTTTTTTAAAAGAAAGTACACAAAAGTGTTCTGATAGGTTGTATACAACTAATACCATATCATAAATAAGGGATATCTGGTATGTGATGAACAGTCCTGGATTACAAGGGCCAACCATAGTCACATGGGCCATTTCTGAAGAGCAGAGGAGTGAGTGCAGCAGCATCATTAGTTCCCTTCATTCAGTTGACAGGAAACTAGTTCAGACAGCTCACCACCCCAACTCACTTCTGACAAGCAGTCTCCTGCCTTGGTCCTCAGAATAGCTTCATTGATGATGCTCTCATACAATCCACTTGTGTCTGTACAGAAATATTCAACATGTCTTAAGAAAAGCTTAATGTGCAAATAGCTTCTATGGCATGCCATTGAAGAAGGTTGATGATTTTACATAGATACCAAAGTGGAGAAAAATCAGATATCATCTCCTGGAATACTTTCCTCCTAGCGTAAAATATGTTTATCAGAAACAACTTTGCTCTACTTCAGTCATCTGGATTATTAGTAGAATAATCCAGATTTTTATTTCAAGTATAACTTACTTTAGCTTTATAACTTTAAATGAACAAAGCTTTATTAGAGTGATTTAATATTTCATATTTGGCTTGTTATAATGGCAATGAAATTTATATTATGATTATATTATGGTACAAATTATTAGTATTTGTATTTGATGACAATACTACTGTTCCTTTTACTTACTACATCATGTGGTCATTAAGAACCCATACTTTATAAACTATGTATGTATACATCTATATGAATATATATATATATTATAAAAATACATACATAAAAGACATTTTCTGCTGATACTAAGAATTTTAAGAAATAGTAATAGTTTTTTTTTGGATCACCACCAGATATGACTTCAGCTGAGTTGTAATGGGAATAAGTGTTTTAGATTCCATTCAGTTGAAATTAGGGATCTATTGTTGTTATTTCATAGACCTTAAGGTATGGGAGTTGGTTCTTGTCATGAGTCTGAACCTATCACACTCCTCCCTCTGACTGTGTCACTAGCTTTCCTTCATTTTATTTGAAATTCTTGGGGATTTTGGTAGCATCTACATTTATAGCATTTTAGAACTTTGAAAATTAAACAGTCTTCATTTGCAGAGCAAAACTTGTGAATGCAATGATATTTTTGTGCTCATAACAGCATGTTATATCTTATACTTTTCTAAACAGTAAATGGCAATATGATTTAAGAACCTTTTCTCACTCCTCTATTAAGTAATATTTGTATTTTGTATTCAGTTATTGTTTTGTTCTTCATAACTAAATAGTATTGCACTAGGTATTTTAAGACTGTGATATAAAGTTAATTTTAGGATCTATTTGTAATAATTATTATATACATTTAAAAGCTTTTGGTAAAAT